AAATAAATAAATAAATAAATAAATAAATAAATAAATAAATAAATAAATAAATAAATAAATAAACAAAAACAAAAAAAAAACAAAAACAAAAAAAAAAAAAAACAAGAAAGTCCAAGAATCCAGTTCAGTCCATGAGTCTGGAAGTCTCAGTTTATCTATCTCAGTATATGCTGGAATCCCAAAGAAGTAGACTCTAATGCCAGTGAAGGAATGGACTTGACAGCAAAGTGAGAACAAGCAGACAGAGAGAGGGGGAGTGGAGCGCTTCCTTCTTCCGTGTCCTTATATAGGCTTCCATCAGCCGGTGTAACCCAGATGTATCTTCCCACCTCAAAAGATGTGGATTTAAAAAGTGAGTCTTCTCTTGGGCTGGAGAGATGGCTCAGTGGTTAAGAGCACTGACTGCTCTTCCAAGTCATGAGTTCCAGCAACCACATGATGGCTCACAACCACCTGTAATGAGATCTGGTGCCCTCTTCTGGCCTGCAGGGACACATGCAGGCAGAATGCTGTATACATAACAAAGCTTAAAAAAAAAAAAGTGAGTCTTCTCACTTCAAATGATTTAATGAAGAACTCCCCCCCCCACAGGTGTCCCCAGCCAGTTGGGTTTTAGTTAATTCCAGATGTGGTCAAGTTGACAACCAAAAATAGCCACCACACCACACAATCATTATGTGTCTAAATTTAATATTGAAATTTACCTTATAGTTTATATATCCAATAGATGCTGACTTCAGGCCCCTCAGTAATTGAAGTCGGCAGCCCCCATGCAGTCACATAGCCCCTCCATGAGTTTCAGCTGCATCTGATGACTGTTTCCTCCAAATCGAACTTATAACTGATGGGATGTCATTTCTGGAATTGGGTTACAAAGCTTTCCTTTTGCTCTGTCTTGCATGTTTACCCAGACGAACTGAGGTACTGACTGAGTGTGACCTTGGCCAGTAGCCTGGACAATATGAGACTTCAGTTTAGTAAGCTTCCAAGCTCGTTGAGTCCTTCTGTCAATCGCGTAATGAGCTTGGCAGCGAATTTTCCTTCAGCTGAGCCTTTAGATGGGGACACCACAGTCCCCATCACTACCACAAGTGTCAGCTTCAAGGAGACCTTGAGATGGAGACATTGTTAATGCTCCACCTAGTTCGTTTACATACAGAAACTATAAAAAGATAGTTTGCTTATTAAGTCCGTAAGTTTTATCACAGTTGTTTCCCAGAAATACATTACAAATATAATAGGTAAATTAAAGATCTATTGGATTTCGTTTTGTTCTACTAGGGAACCTCCTTTCTAGGTTGAGTCAAATTATGCAGCAATATACAAAGATAATAGTATAAAAACGTACATTGCCTCATTAGCCATCAAAAATGTATTTTAAGATACCACTGTGGGCAGGAGAGATGGCTTAGGGGTTAAGAACACTGGCTGTTCTTCCAGAGGTCCTGAGTTCAATTCCTACCACCCACGTGGTGGCTCCCAACCATCTGTAATGAGATCTGGCGCCCTCTTCTGGCAGGTAGGCATACATGGAGGCAGAATGTTGTATACATAATAAATAAAAATATCTTTAAAAAAAGATACCACTGTGTACCTTTCAAAATGCAAAACAAAATTTTTTAGTTTTATACTTGCATATTGCTGAGTGTCCCTAACCTGTCTTTTCTTTGAAAACATGTTATTAATTCTTTGAAAATTTCATCCCATGTATTTTTATCATATTCATTCCCAACTCCTTCCAAATCCACCCTGACCCCTGTACCTTTTCAACTTTTAGTGTCCTCCTTTTTCTAGTAGCCCATTAACTCCAGTTTGTGCTGTCCATATACTTCTGGGCATGTGATCTGGAGCATGGTCAACTTACTAGGGGCCCAACCTTCTAGGAAACTGACTCTTCCAGAAGCCACCAACTGTCAATAGGTCCTCAGCTAGGGTGGGGCTTGTGAGTCCCTCCTCCCTCTGTATTAAGCAACCACAGCTGCTGTGAGTTCACAAGTGCAGCCATCCTGTCATGTCCAGAAGACACTGTTGTTGTTGGGTTGCTTTTTGTTGTTTTTGTTTTTGTTATTCAAGACAGGGTTTCTCTGTGTAGCTTTGTGCCTTTCCTGGAACTCACTCTGTAAACCAGGCTGGCCTCAAACTCACAGAGATCCACCTGCCTCTGCCTCCTGAGTGCTGGGATTAAAGGCCTGAGCCACCACCGCCCGGCTCAAAAGACACTGTTTAGCTTTTGTCCTCCCTCACATCTGGCTCTTAGGATCTTTTTTGCCTCCATTTCTGTGATGGTCTCTGAGCCTGGAGGTTTGTATAAGGGTTCCTTCCATTTGTGGCTGAGCACTCCACTAACCTCTATTCTGTGTACCCTGACCAGTTGTGAGTTTCTCTGTTAACCACCATCCCTTCAACCTTGTCCTTTCTGACAAGTATAGGGCAGAAATAATGTGACATAATGTTTCCAACCCTTTGTTTAATTTGGAAAAATAACCTAAGGAAATGGTCAAAGTATATTTGAAGGAATTTCTTTTTTAAAGAAAAATAATTATGCACTTCAAATAATAGCAAATGGTGGGAATGTTTCAAATACCTAATGGTTAGCTAAAGATGTAATGCAATAGAGCATCATATTATCTAGAATTGGACTGCTTCCAGAAAAGACCCAGTTTTCTTCTTGCTTTTTTGTTGTTGTTTTGTTTTGTTTTTCAAGACAGGGTTTCTGTGTGTAACAGCCCTGTCTGTCCTGGATCTCGCTCTGTAGCCCAGGCTGACCTCGAACTCACAGAGATCCACCTGGCTCTACCTACTGAGTGCTGGGATTAAAGGTGTGCGCCACTACCACCCGGCTTTCTTCTTGCTTTGTTGCTCTCACTCTCTCCTCTTCCTCCCTGCAGGGTGTGTGTGTGTGTGTGTGTGTGTGTGTGTGTGTGTGTGTGTGTGTGTGTTTGGTATATTCATTTGTGTGAGCAGATGAGCTTGTGTAGAGGCCAAAGGTCAAGTTCAAGTATGTTCCTCTATCATTCTCCACCTTACTATTTAAGACAGGTTGTGTCACTGGCTGGCCAGCAAGCCACCTAGGATTTGCTTGTCTCTTCCTACTCCCAGCTCAGAATTATGGACACATGTCACCACACTTGGCTTTCACATGAGTTCCCACCTTGCGCAGCACCAATGAGCCACCTCCAAAGTTGCCTGTGCTTCATTACTCTTAAAATACCCCCTTATGGTTCAATATAACCATTGAAAGTCAAGAGATGATGGAGTTTCTTACTCTTCTCATTGCTGTGATCAGAATCCTGACAAGATGTAACTGAAGGGAGGAGAAAGGTTTATGTTGGCTTACAGTTCAGGGTCAGTTCCTGACTTTGACGACGGAAGGCTGCCTGCTCACATCCTGGTAAATCAGGAAAGAGACGACCTAGGGTGAT